TTTTGTGGTAGTAATCTTACTCTCTTAAGATGCATGTCCACAGGATTTTCACTGTTGTTTGTATTTTATAAAGTGAAGGCAAATGAGGAGCATAACGTTTCTGTACCTGTAGTCGCAGAGATGGCGCCGGTTTCAATTTCAGCTTTTAATGAAAGACCACAAATGACAAACTAAAATTTTTGAACCACAGCATGAATCAGAAAGTTGGCTAGTTAACCTCTTTTTTGAGGGGGTGTTCTTTTTGAAGGTGGGGGTTGCAGGCAGAGAAGGGAAAAAGCGGGAGAGAAAATGGCAAAGAAGTGTAGTGGGAGGCAGTAGATTGTGGGTGGTGAAACTGGGATGGAAGTGATGGCTCTAGACCACTTCACCTCGCCCCAGAGCCCTGAGTAAAAAGAAATCCTTTTTCTAGCACTCCATCTCCTCTCCTCTCCCTTCCCTACCTTTCAGTGGTCTTAGAAATGAGCAGGGACAAGCAGCACAAACAATGACTGAGGTTTTCTAACAGCCACAGAGATACTCCCAAGGTAGAGATAGTCCTTTCTTTATTAGACGCCATTCAGGAAAACAGTGTGTGACATCACAACTCTAATATAACCTCTGGCAGTCTTGTGACAGGGATGGTGGAGGGTAGGGATAGGGGGAGCAGATGGAAGTATTTTTGAATTTTCCCAGTGGGTACAAGGGTTTTGTTCCTTAATTAGAGGTAGTCTGGTAAATGCTCACACTGGTGCTAATGCCCCAGGAGAGTTTGAACACCTTCGTTCTGGGTTTACTGGGATATTACTGTCCCCCTGCTTAGGGAGCATACCAGCTGGCAGCAGGAAAGCTGGCCGAGAGCTCACTTGGGCCGAGCTCTGGATTACTACTTAATTCTGTTTGGAAGTCAGGACTGGAATTTTGAGGTCCCTTGAGAAGGTAGTGCTAGGTTGATTTCTGTCCCTACTTGTGCTTCTAGAAGTAACAACTGTAAAATTATATTGAAATTTGCTTTTTAGAAAAAGCCAGGTGATAATCAGAATGTGTGGGTGGTTTGAAGTTTTTTTGTGTCCTTTGTTTTTTTTTTTTTTCTTTTTTTAAGATTTTATGTATTTATTTGACAGAGACACAGCTAGAGAGGGAATACAGGCAGAGGGAGTGGGAGAAGCAGGCCTCCTGCCCAGCAGGGAGCCCCATGCCGAGCTTGATCCCTGGACGCTGGGATCATGTCCTAATCCGAAGGCAAATGTTTAATGAGTGAGCCACCCAGGCATGTGGGGTTTTTTTTACTTTTATTTTTTAAGATTCATTTATTTATTTTTAGAGAGAGACAGCGGGAGTGTGAGTGGAGGGAGGGCCAGAGGGAGAGAGAGAGAAAATCCCCAGCAGACTCCCCCGCTAAGCGTTGAGCCCAACACGGGGCTGGATCCCAGGATCCTGAGATCATGACCTGAGCCGAAATCAAGAATTGGATGCTTTAACCTACTGAGCCACCCGGGTGCCCCTGGTTTGAAGTTTTTATTTTTATTTTTATTTTATTTTATTTGTTTATTTGACAGAGCCAGAGAGCACAGTGGGGAAATGGCAAAGGGAGAGGGAGAAGCAGGCTTCCTGCTGAGCAGGGAGCCTGATGTGGGGCTTGATCCCAGGACCTTGGGGTCATGACCCGAGCTGAAGGCAGACGCTTAACCAGCTGAGCCCCTCAGGAACCCCTGGTTTGAAGTTTTTAAATAAAGGCCTGTGCTCTGCTACCAGGCCTCCAGAGGAGTACTTTATATTGTATAACCCTGCTGCTAGGGTTCTGGAAGGAAGTTGCTTCCTTCCTGTTTCATCACAACCCTTGTGACCTTGCCATATTCCCTGCCTTCTCTGCTCTAGCAGAATCTAATTCTTAACTAAAGTTGAAACTGGTCAAGGGGCTTGAAGTCTTCCTTAAGTACAGAGGGCAGTCTTTTGGAAAGGATGGCAGATAGATCCCTGAAATCTTTAAAGAAAGGGCCACAAAATGGAGGCTGTACTCTTAGCAGCCTTGACAAGGAGTTTTCCAAACTTGCTGGGTGCTTCTTGTTGGGGACATCATCATGGAGGGCCCCAAGCTGTGGTATCTTTCTTCCTCATTCACCCCCTCCTGTCCAAACTAAAAGTTGACTTTCTGGAGTCTTTTTCCTCTTTATTTTTAAGTAAGCTTTACACCCAGCATGGGGCCTGAACGCAACCCGGAGATCAAGAGCTTCATGCTCCACTGACTGAGCCAGCCAGGTGCCCTGACTTTCTGGCGTCTTGACAGAATTCACCTATTATTTTTACTCCTTTGTTTGCTATTAATAAATCCATTATTGTGGGGCGCCTGGGTGGCTCAGTGGGTTAAGCCACTGCCTTCGGCTCAGGTCATGATCCCAGGGTCCTGGGATCGAGTCCCGCATCAGGCTCTCTGCTCAGCAGGGAGCCTGCTTCCCTCTGTCTACTGTGATCTCTCTGTCAAATAAATAAATAAAATCTTTAAAAAAAAGAAAAGAAATATTTTAAAAAAAATCCATTATTGTGTCTTTGCCACAGTTTAGCTGGTTTAATTGTCTCTTCTGTTGAAATCCAGAGTTGTGGTTTTGAGGGGCAGTATGTTATGGTCAACTTGGACGATCCACAGCCCCCCCACACTCATCTCTTTCTGGTTGTAGGCATCAAGATTTAATAGGTCTATCAGAGATTGCTGTGAACTTGCATAGTTTGGTGCCTTCTCAGAAGTACAGGGGTACTTGGTCTGCAAGACAGCCTAGTGAGTGTGTTCTCTGAACCTCCATATCACAGCATCTCCGCCATCTGGATGAAGTACAAGCGGGGAGGCGAAAGGTACTTGGCTCGTTGGAGGGCTGCAAGGAGACCATTGTGGCTGAAAGTAGAGTCAGCAAGAGGGGCAGGGGGCGGTTAGAAGATGAGGTCAGAGAGGTAGTAGTAACAGATTGTGGTAGGCCTTGTGGACCTGTTAGGATTTTGTATTCAGAGTGAGATGGCGATCATTGGAGATTTTTGAGTTGATCTAATTTCTAATTAAAAAAGTAAATTACTCTGGCTGCTGTGTGGAAAGCAGACTGGGTGATAGGGGCGAGGGAGGAACAGAGAAACCATTTAGAAGTCTATTGTAGTAACCCAGGCTAGAGATGATGCGATGGCAAGTGGAATTATTACTATCTCCAAGAAAGGTTGGGAGACCTAATTAAGAAAACCTCACTAATGCCTCTCATACAGCCCATTTCACAATCTTAGGCTCCAGTATTTGCTAATTCCCCTTTCCCTTGGATTTTGCCCTCTCCTATATTAGGGCCATAGGGGAGAGATTATTAAATAAAGAACAGCCTTCACAAGGGAAGGAATTGTAAGCAGTACCTCAGTCATTTGACCCCAACAGAAGCCTTTTTATTTCTTGAGGCGCTGCAATTGGTGCCCTGTGTACATTCTGTTATCCCACCCACTGGAGACCTGAAAAGGCAGAATCTGTGCCAGAACTCTGAGGCAGCTCGATTCTCATTGAGGCATTTTCTTTCTGCAGTTGTTATCTTAGACAGTTTGAGCAGCCTCTTTTTACAAAGTATCTTTTCAGCTACCTGGCCTTGCAAGCTAGAGCTCTCTGATGCTCATCGTGACAAGGTAGTTTCACATACCTGAGAGGGGCCTCAAAGAGGAAGAAAGAGGATTTGTGGTCTTTGTTGAACACTTGAGCTCTTTCCCCACTCCTCTTTTGTTGGGATTAAAGCCTTAACCTGCCACCTGGATACCTGGGTTTTGCAGCAAGGAAAAGGAATTCCATGTATTTTATTTTAGTACGTTATACTTGTTTGAGAAGAGCCTGGTCCTTGGTACACAGGGAGCTTATTCCCTACAGAGGCCACATCTGGTCGGCTTTCTTGGGCAGGTCTTGTTGGTAGACATTACTGAGGAAACTGTGCCATCTTGACATAATGTCAGGATTACTGGCCTAGAGAGGGCTGCTGGCAGCCTATAACCACCTTGATTTATTCTGGGAGCAATGCAATTTTTTTTTTTTTCTGGGGGCTAGAGGGGTCAAATTGTGTGATAGGCAACAGGAAAGGTAAATCCCCAGAAACTTAAAAGCAGAATTTGCTTTAACAGTGCTCAGTGGTATCTCCTAGGGAGCTTTGCCCCTTCCTTCTAAAAGTGAGCTCAGATTACTGCCATTGCAAGTTGGACTTTGGGTGCCTTTGCAGCTCATATACTGTACTGCTTCTGGAAATGTCTGACTGCCCCTGCCCTGGTCAGTTCTGTAAATAGACTGAGCCAGGACCTATGAAGGCCAGCTCTCTTCAGGAACCCTGTTCTATTTTCAGGGAGAAATAATTTTTCCCTTCACCTTAGTTAGAATCTGCCCTAGCCTTTCTGGTCCTGCCTTAGCTGGGGCACAGATGAGAGCCAGCATGCCATGTATCTGGCAATCCCGTGGGCCTGCCCAAAAGTAGTAGGGAGAGGCTGTCTGTAGGAAATGCACATGCCAGAAGTGCATCCACAGCTGGTGAACATTAAAGACTTTATAGATGCACCGTATTTTCCAGTTATTTGTGTGGATAGGTATTTCCAGTTTTTATTCCCCCCCCCAAATGCATCTGTGCTGACTGAAACATCATTTTAGCCATAGTAGTAGTTGAGAGCAAATTGTTGCTGCAGATAAAAACATAGATGTAGGGGTGCCTGGGTGGCTCAGTGGGTTAAGCCGCTGCCTTCGGCTCAGGTCATGATCTCAGGGTCCTGGGATCGAACCCCGCATCGGGCTCTCTGCTCAGCGAGGAGCCTGCTTCCTCCTCTCTCTCTGCCTGCTTGTGATCTCTCTCTGTCAAATAAATAAATAAAATCTTTAAAAAAAAAACAAACATAGATGTATTTTCAACCAACATGCTGCTAATTAAATTGCTTATCTATCTAAATGTGGGCCTCTGCAGCTCATATCCGATGTCCCTGGTATCTTCCTTGAGTGAGTTGCCTTGTATTCTATGATCTCGTTTTTCCGTTCATTGCAGTGTGAGCGACTGCCCCATGTTGTGTTGATGCCAGTCTGCCATGCTAGCCTGTCTGCCAGGGCCAGGTGACCTGTCCTTTCAGCTTCTTTCTCACACGCAGATGAACACTGGACTTCAGAAATGTAAGTAATCTGGATCCCAGAGAAGGATGTGACCCTTATTTTGTCTCTACATTTGGGTAATAACAGGCACATCAGGGGTATGTTGACCGTGAACTTTGGTACCTCCAAGATATTCTTCAGCACAGACAGCAAGAAGGCAGCGGCCAAACTTGTTAGCAGTGTGGATGCTTTTTTGATCAGAGAGATCCTCTTAAATACTAGAATTCTTCAGTGTGTGTCATCTGAATTATCATTGTTGCTGATAGCTATCTGTTGAGCAACAAAGCTATACGGAGTTTTACAGGATGTATATGTCACCCTTCAGAAAGGTGTTTCAGTTTGAACCCCCATGAGGAATTGAATGAAAACTCACACTCTTGATTATTTACTGTATCTCTGAAACATACGCTTTACCCTTTTCTGTTGTTCGGGACTCTCTGAGCATTCTCTACCATTCCCTTTGGCTTTGCTTTCTGCTGAACCAGTGACCTCAGTTCACAAGTCAAGAAGTTTTCACCTTCAGAAGGAACAGGGAGCTAGCTTTATCAGTCTCTCTGGGTATATTCCTGCTAATAAACTTGCCCACAAGAGTGAACTTTTGAGAACTATTAGATTCCTGTGTTTTTTCCTCTTTCTTTCTTTTCTTCCTTCCTTCCTTCCTTCTTTTCATTTTTCTTTTTTCTTTTTTTTTTTCTTTTCTTTTTTTTTAAAATAAGCTCTATGCCCAATCTGGGCCTTGAACTCCCAACCCCGAGGTCAAGAGTCACATGCTCTTGACTGAGCCAGCTAGGCGCCCCAGATTCCCGGCTTCTTTCCCTGCACTACAATGATGTGCAAGGAAAAGATTCTGTTCCTAGCTCATTACCATGTACAGTGTCTTCAGGTATAAATATTGCCCTAAATTTGGGATAGACCTTCTTTTTCAGAGCAAAAGGGGAAATCATTGAAGCATCTAGGCTTACCCTTTAATATAAAAGGCGCTTTAGCACCTTACCCAAATCCTTTATGACAGGGGCTGGTAAATTTCTTCTGTAAAGGGCCAGATAAACAAGTATTTTAGGTTTTGTGGGCCGTATGGTCCCTGTTGGATCTACTCAGAGGTGCTGTGGTAGGGCAAAGGTAGCTATAGACGTCATGTAAACGAATGAGTGTGGCTGTGTTCTGCTAAAACTTTTTACACAAACAAAGCAGTTGTATTTTGGCCACAGGCTATAGTTTGCTTCCACCTGCTGTATGAGATCATCTTCAGAAGTTAAAAAGGGGGGTGCCTGGGTGGCTCAGTCGTTAAGCGTCTGCCTTTGGCTCAGGTCATGATCCCAGGGTCCTGGGATCAAGCCCCACATCGGTCTTCCTGCTCAACGGGGAGTCTGCTTCTCCCTCTCCCACTTCCCCTGCTTGTGTTCCCTCTCTTGCTGTCTCTCTCTCTCTCTCAAATAAATAGATTAAAAAAAAAAAAGTTAAGAATGCTCTAGCCTCTTGACTTCCTTTCTTTGAAGGAGAGTAAGGCTCAGAGCCTGGCTAGTTCTGGAATCTGCCCAGTGAATCCAGCTTGTGTAATGACAAAGCTGAAAGTTAAGTTTTCCTTCTGCAGCTGCCTGACCCCATAGGCGAGCTATATTATGCTGTACCAGCTTTTCCCTTAGTGTTTCTCTTAATAAATGATGATTGTCAGGTGATAGAGTTGTACATGCTCCTTGGCCACTGAAATCTGCATGCTAACTGCATTTTGACTGGTTCTGGGGTTCCAGGGACACATCTGGAGAAGGAAGTATACTTGGAAGCATGACAGAGCAGCTCACTGACTTTCTTCTAGGTTCCTTCATGTACTCAAACAGCTTTACCCAGAGATGGGGTATCAAGCGGGTAGCTTTATCTTGGGTGCTGACTTTGGATTTCCATTCCTTCTCTGTCCAAAACAGCCTCAGAGGTAGCCTCTGCTAACCACTGTTTTCAAATTCTGTTCAAGAATTGAGATAACCTTCCCTGGTTTCTGGCTTGTCTGTTTGAGGAGAATAGTGTTTTAGAATCCCTTTGTCTCACTTGGTTGATGTCCTTAACTATGCCTTTGCAGAGAAGAAAACCTGATGGTGTTTTAAGCTTATTTGCTTTCTTCTCACCTCTCCCAAAATGTATACGATAAGAAATTCTGCCATGTCACTTACAGCTGTTAGCATGGAACACTGAAGGTGAGATGGAGCATAAACTCTCCTTTGGGAACCAGCACCAAGGTCCTGCTCAGAGGACCTCTCAGCTGTAGAGAGCTTAACCAGTTTTGTGACTCTGCTTTTCACCCTTTCTCTGCCCGTCATCCTCGGGAGGGTTTTACGAGTTGTTAGAAACACAGAATTCAGTGTCTGGTGGGGCAGGGATAGAATACAGATGTTTATTGATTATTGTGCTTTATATTGTAAGAGCTCAGGCAGGAGAGATGTAGCAGGGGTCTGGAGATGTGGGATATATGGCGTCTTGGCCAGCACTCTAAGTCACCTGGCTAATCACTTTCCCCAGGCTTACCCCACTATGGGTACAGAATCACAGGATTGGGGCGCCTGGGTGGCTCAGTGGGTTAAAGCCTCTGCCTTCGGCTCAGGTCATGATCCCAGGGTCCTGGGATCGAGCCCCACATCGGGCTCTCTGCTCGGCGGGGAGCCTGCTTCCCTCTCTCTCTCTCTCTCTCTCTCCCCCTCTCCCTATTTGTGTTCTCTCTCAAAAAAAAAAAAAAAAAAAACTTAAAAAAAAAAAAAAAAAAAAAAAGAATCACAGGATTGATCCCTTCTCACACCAGCATTTCCTCCTCTCCCCTTTCTTTTCTTCCTAAGAGTATGTAATGCATTTCCCACCCTAGATGTGGCATTTGCCATGGGGCAGTCTGGATTAAGGAACGCCTTGGCCTTGGTGGGTCCTGCGCTTGATAGAGGACCACAGTTTGGGTTAGCTGGATACCCTCCTAGAGCTTTTCTAGATTGTATATTCCATGATGTTACTTGTTTTGCGAGTTCTCAGCTGTTTGGGAACTTTATTTAGAAAAATTTTCTCTGACCCATCTTTTCCCAGTTCCTCAGAAAATATGTTTTTGAACTCCCCCCCCACCCCGCCCCAATTAACTGCAAGCCTCTGCTCTTCCCCAGCTCACCATCGGGTATATCGTGGTGGCTCAATAAATATGTCTAGGTGAGTGGCTGAAATGACCAAAGCTCCTTGGTCCTCAAATCATTCATTCATTCATTTGTTTAGATTTTATTTATTTATTTGACAGAAAGCAGGAAAACACAAGCAAGGGGAGCAGTAAGAGGGAAGGGGAGAAACGGGCTCCTGACTGAGTGGGAGCCGGATGTGGGGCTCCATCCCAGGACCCTGGGATCATGACCTGAGCTGAAGGCAGATGCTTAACTGACTGAGCTACCCAGGCGCCCCTCAAATCATCTTTTAGCCAACAGCTCTGACCTCCTTCGTTATAGAGTATCAGGGTTTGATACCAACCTCAAAATTACCCAGTTTTACTACTTTTCTATGCCTGTCTGCCCCCTAGTGGAAGGGCCTGGAAATGGTGAATTGGCCCAGAAACTGGATAAGCTGTAGAAATCTCAGAAATATTAGCTAATATTTGTTGATTGCTTACTATATGCCAGGCACAATTTTGAGTGTATTTATGCATATTATTATTCGTTCCTCAATAATCCCATATGAGAAACTTTAATCTTTCTTTTGAGGAGGAGACCTAGAGTAGCCCTTGCCAGTGTCACATTAATGTTCAGTGACTACATTAGAACTCCCTCTTGGGTCAGACTCCAAACCCAGTGTTTGAAACACTGCCTGTGCCTCTCCATCTATTTTTTTTTAATATTTTATTTATTTATTTGACAGAGATCACAAGTAGGCAGAGAGGCAGACAGACAGAGAGAGAGAGAGAGAGAGAGAGAGAGAGAGAGAAGCAGGCTCTTGGCTGAGCAGAGAGCCCGATACGGGACTCGATCCCAGGACCCTGAGATCATGACCTGAGCCGAAGGCAGCGGCTCAACCCACTGAGCCACCCAGGCGCCCAACCTCTCCATCTATTGATAGAGTTTCCAGCTGCATATGATACTTGTGTCTTCTGACCTTCAAAATGGAAGGATAAACAGGGAGGCCCCTGTGGAAAGCTGGGATTCAGGGAGATATCGGCCTTCACCACCTGCCCCCACCTCTTGCAGTCCCTGGAGTAGACAACACTGCTTTCTGCTACATTTAAGTCCCAGACTCAAGTCCCGTGGGCTTTCTCCGTCAGGTTGCTTTTTCTGTCTGTACAAAATCAACCAAACCTGCTATCCTTGAATAACTTTTGATAGTCATGGTTCCTGTTCACAGAGCTTTTTCCTATTCACTGAATCTCTTGATCCTAGTAATTCTGTGAGGTACAGAGGTACCTGGGGGTGGCTCAGTTGACTGAATGTCCGACTTGGTTTCGGCTTAGGTCATGATCTCAGGGTCGTGAGATCAAAGCCCACATCAGGCTCTGCACTCAGCATGGAGTCTGCTTGGGATTCCCCTCTCCTTCTCCCCTTTCTCCCCACTTGAGCACACATGTGTGCTCACACTCGCTCGTTCTCTCACTCTAAAGTAAAATGAAATTCTTTAAAAAAAAATTCTGTGGGGCGCCTGGGTGGCTCAGTGGGTTAAAGCCTCTGTCTTCGGCTCAGATCATGATCCCAGGGTCCTGGGATCGAGCCCCGCATCGGGCTCTCTGCTCAGCAGGGAGTCTGCTTCCCCCTCTCTCTCTGCCTGCTTCTCTGCCTACTTGTGATTTCTGTCTGTGAAATAAATAAATAAAATCTTAAAAAAAAAAATTCTGTGAGGTATGACAGCAGGTATCATCCCTGTTTATAAATGAAGAATAACTGAGACCCTGAGTAGTAGATAATAAAGCCAGTACTTGAGTCTAGATTCTAAGCACAGATTCCCTATCCTGTGCACTGCCTTATGTCCCAATTAATAACACCCTTGGTGGGGCTCCTGAGTGGCTCAGTGGGTTAAAGCCTCTGCATTCAGCTCAGGTCATGATCCCAGGGTCCTGGGATCGAGCCCCGCATCGGGCTCTCTGCTCAGCGGGGAGCCTGCTTCCCTTCCTCTCTCTCTGCCTGCCTCTCTGCCTACTTGTGATCTCTGTCAAATAAATAAAATCTTAAAAAAAAAATTATTAAAAAAAAATAACACCCTTGGTATCACATATTTAAATAAGTTGCTTTACAGGGGAGACTGGTTGGCTCAGTCTGTGGAGCATACAACTCTTGATCTCAGGGTTGTGAGTTTGAGCATCACATTGGGCACGTAGCTTTCTTTAAAAAAAAATTAAAATAAGTTGGTTACAAAGCTGTGGTATCTGTGTCAGCTGTACACTTAGGGGAAGATGTCAGAGAAGAAAGAAAGCTTCTGGGATGACTGCATGGGACTGAGATAAAGTGTTGAGAAAACTTGGGTTTTTTTTTTTTTCTTTCAAGGGCTGAACTTAAGTCTGGTACATGAGATGGGTGGTGCTGGATTCCAAGAATGTAGCCTCTTTTTTATCCAGTATACTCCTCTCATCCTGGAGAGTCCTCCTTAACACAGATACTACAGCCTGTGCCCACCCTTCCCACTTGTGATTCTGATTCCTTTATTTGCCTGTCCTCATCATCATTGTCAACATCGGCAGAAGCAGGACAAAGAGAACTAACCGGTGTCCGCGTCCCATTCCATACCCCTGAATCAAGCCAAGCTGCCTTCTGCCTCTGCTAGGGGAAAAAAAACCACTCTGAGACTTGGTACTGACTTGGAACAGAGGAACTCTATCAGTCAGCAAGCCCCTGTACCACTCTCTCTTCCCTGGCCCTCAAGAAGGGAAGCCCACCAACATGGAGGAAAGCCCAGGAGCCAACCTGTATTACCTGTCTGAACTAAACCCCGGCAGCTTTAGACTGCCAGCCCTCAGCTAAACCCAAGTCTTTCCGTCAGAATAGACCCTATACTGCCGATGCTTACTGAGTCTTCTGCACATCTGCTCTGGGTCAGGCACGGGGCTAGGAGAGTCACATGATTTTGACCAGTCAGCACCTAAGTACAGTGGCTGATCTGGTCAGTTTAAATGGAATTCTGGTGTCTTGAGTAATCTCAGATTTTCTGGAATTTTCTTATCTAGGAGAATGTAGCAAGGGTCAGAAAATGGCCCCACTTTATGGAGACTGAAGCCCACTGAGGATCAGTGGCTTAAAAGAAGCAGCAGAACTCAGACTCTCCTCTCGGGGCTCTGATTTTGCTCCCCAGCTAGTGTTACCTGGAGAAGGTTTCTGGGCCTCGGCCTCCCTCTCCTTTCTGGACTCAGCTATCTCTTTCACATTCATTCTTTTAAGACTCTCTCCAGGGGTGCCTGGGTGGCTCAGTGAAAGTTAGGCCACTGCCTTCGGCTCGGATCATGATCTCAGGGTCCTGGGATCGAGTCCTGCATCGGGCTCTCTGCTCAGCGGGGAGCCTGCTTCCCTCTCTCTCTCTCTCTGCCTGCCTCTCTGCCTACTTGTGATCTCTCTCTGTCAAATGAATAAACAAAATCTTTAAAATAAAAAAGAAAAAAGACTCTCTCCAAATCAGTCATCTTACAAACATTTTGTTTATGGATAGAGCATCCATTCTGTATGCGGTTAATAAAGCAGACCTCAGACATGTGGGAGTGCCTACTATATCGAGGCACTGTGCCGCTGAGAGCACAGCTCTTTCTGTACTCTTGTGCTCAGTTCTACCTTGATGAGCGTGGGACTAAATCTCTCTGCGCCTTGTGGACTTGAGCTCTCTTTTCTTGCCTCTAAAAGCAGCATTTTCTAAGCACTCGCTGCCAGGCTAACCAGCAATGCCACCAAAGGAAGGCAGCTGTGCCCTCTTCCCTCTAGCCCACTCCTTGAGCCACTTCCCTTTCAGTTGATGCCCAGTGACGTGACTGAATGGGGTCTCCTTGGGCCAAGGCAGCTGAGGCCACAAGCTGCGCATTCCGTTAGCTTAGTCCTTGCTCTGTCTTGGCTGCCTCCTGTAAGGGGAGGAAATAGGGTGGGTGTTCGCCAGCTGAGCCTAGGCTCCCAGCCAAGCCCCTTCCTTCTGCTTGGGCAGTCTGTGGGCTTACTCGCTCAGCAAACCTTTATTAAGCACCTTCTATGTACACTTAGGAGAGACCCTACCTCAGAGAGGGAGTAGAGGGCTGAGACCTTTTGCCGGACCCTGGCATCCTTATAGGGCCCTTGTTCTCAGAACCTTTTCCTTTTGACTGGAAGTCTGACATCCGCTGGAGCCCCCCATGGGAGATGGGAACAAAGAAACTGTTAACGTTAATGAGGCACATTGAGTGGGTATTTCCGCGGTCTCCAAAGGAAGGCAGGTTTTTCCTCTTTCATTTTGGAAAGTGACAGCCGACAAGGGCGGAATACAGACTATTTTTGGCTCTGGGGACTTAAAGATTCTCTGAATCCTTTTTTCTCAGCTCCCTCCCTGCTACCCTGTCATTATTGTCACCCCCCACAAGGAAACAAAGCCTTTTGATCCTCACCCAATCAGGCAGAGAGTGAGCTGTAAACAAAACTGAACTTGTGACATAAGGCTAGGGGAGGGATGCTGGCAGTGTGTTCCTCTGCTCCCGAGGAAAAAAGCATCCTGTTTGCTGTGCCAGGGTGCCCACCCAGTGGGTATGGCGCCCCAGCTGCCGGGGCACAAGGGAAAGCTCCTGCCTCCCAGGCCACCGCAGCCTGAAGAGGCGTCACTGCGGGTGCCCTCTTTACGACGGTGTCTTGGGGAAGGGACTGAGTGGCCACAGAGGGCTCTGACATGCAGCTCCGTGCAGAACCTTCACCCCCAAGGCCAGTGTAAGCTGGTAGGAACTTAGAGTTCCATGTAGGGGAACAACCATCAGTAACCTTTGTGACAATTGGCCAGGTTCTGGCTCTCCAAAATCCAGGACTTTGAAAGTTGCTCTGCTGTTCTGATCTTTGGTGGCCTCATTTATAAATGAGAATCCTAATAGTAGCTGCCTTCTAAAGCTGGAGCAGGGATTCATTGAGATAGCCTGTCACTTAGCACAAGGCCTGACCAGTTACAGTTATAAGTAGTGACTAAATGGTAGCAGTGCTTGTGACTGTGGGGCTCGGTGAGACTGGGTCTAAGATGAAGAGAAGACCAGGGACGACTTCCTTATCCCCCGCTCTACCCTACACCCTCAGAAGGGGAATCTAGAAGGGCTGGTTGGCTTGGCACTGATGAGCTCCCTCTCCTTCTTTGCTCTCCTTACCCTTCTCTCTCTCTAGGGGACACTACACAGAAAATGAGAGCTGCTCACTATCCTACCCCAGCCGAATTGGACGCGTATGCTAAGAAGGTCGCAAACAACCCACTGACTATAAAAATCTTCCCCAACAGTGTGAAGGTTCCCCAGCGGAAACACGTTCGTCGTACTGTGAACGGCCTCGACACATCAGCCCAGCGCTACAGCCCCTACCCGACTCAGGCCGCCACCAAGGCAGGCCTGCTTGCCATTGTCAAAGTGCCAGCCAAAAGCATACTCAAGGACTTTGACGGCACCCGAGCCCGATTGCTCCCTGAGGCCATCATGAACCCCCCAGTGGCGCCCTATGCTACTGTGGCACCCAGCACTTTAGCCCACCCCCAGGCCCAGGCTCTGGCCCGCCAGCAGGCCCTGCAGCATGCACAGACCCTGGCCCATGCCCCTCCCCAGACGCTGCAGCACCCTCAGGGTATCCCGCCAGCCCAGGCGCTGTCCCACCCTCAGAGCCTCCAGCAGCCTCAGGGCCTGGGCCACCCTCAGCCCATGGCCCAGACCCAGGGCCTGGTCCACCCTCCTGCCCTGTCTCACCAGGGTCTCCAGCACCCCCCCAATCCCTTGCTGCATGGAGGTCGGAAGATGCCAGACTCAGATGCCCCCCCGAATGTGACCGTGTCTACCTCAACTATCCCCCTTTCAATGGCGGCCACCCTGCAGCACAGCCAGCCCCCGGACCTGAGCAGCATCGTGCACCAGATCAACCAGTTTTGCCAGACGAGGGCGGGCATCAGCACTACCTCAGTGTGTGAGGGCCAGATCGCCAACCCCAGCCCCATTAGTCGCAGTCTGCTCATCAATGCAAGCACCCGGGTGTCCACCCACAGCGTCCCCACGCCAATGCCTTCATGTGTGGTCAATCCCATGGAGCACACCCATGCGGCCTCGGCCGCGCTGCCTGCCACAGGCCCTGTCAACCTGCCCACGGGCGTCTCTCGAGCCCCCACTGGCTACCCTAGCGACCTCAAGCCAGTCGCCTGGAACCAGCACCAGCTGGCCCACCTACAGCAGATGTGCAGTGAGGCTGGTGGGACGCCGGCCCCTGGCCTGACAGGCAAGCATGCAGCAGGACGCGAGTTGGCAGGGCCTGGCTTTGTAGGCAAGGCCCCTGCCTACCCGCAGGAACTCTGCCTGGCACAGTCCTTCCATCTGAAGCCAGCCCTGGAGAAGCCAACCCCGTCCCCACCCATCAACGGCCTGGCAGCCCCACTGGCCTACCCCAATGGTCACTACTTCCAGCCCCTGTGGAACAACATTCTGCCCACGCCCAATAGCGACAGCTCGGGGTCTCAGGACCTCGCCATGCCGTTCCATGGTGGGCAGCCCACGGGTGCACCCCTCGACTGTGGGACGGCTGCTGGGGCCCACTACCGAGCAGGGACCGGGGGTGGGCCGGTGGCAAGCCAGAACAGCTTGATGCAAACGGTGGATTACCTAAGCGGGGATTTCCAACAGGCCTGCTTTCGAGAACAGAGCCTGGCCATGCTGAGCAAGGCCCACCGAGCCCCTGGCACCCGAGCCCCTGATCCCGCAGATAGTCGAAATCTTCATCTTCAGCACCCTGGGTATAGATAGGGAGCCCCTGGTGCCCTCCACAAGCTACACATCGTACAGCACCCTCCTAGGTGTAGACTTACTTTTGAGTAATTGGATAGTTTCAAAATTTCGCTGCTCCAGTGTGATCATTCTTAGATGTCTAAGAAAGGGAATTTGGTGGGATCTAATTGAGGACAGCAGGGGATCCCCTGTGCCTCATCCTCCCCTCCACCACCCCTAGCAACTTCTGGGTTTATGTGAGGACCTGACCCCAGCTCCAGGCTTTTCTCTCTGCTGCCTCTCATCCCTTGCCTTGGCCATTTCCTACCAGGCACCCCATCCTTTCTTGCACCTCTGCCTGTTTTCCTTAGGACTGAGGTGTGGGAAGGGGAAGGGGCCTGGGGGAGGTGGCTGTGGTGTGCAGCCCCTTCAGCTTGGCCACTCCCTGTCTGTCTCTGTCTCTTTGGGACTAAGAAGCCAGACTTCCCAAGTGCTCTGGAAGCTAATTCCTTATTCACCCAAAGATCTCCAATCAAAGCTGACCCAGTCTTCACCTCCTCTCACCCCTCTCCATTCCTCAGGGCTTCGTTGTACACCTACGTTCATTCCAGAGCCACTGCACTTGTCCTTGCTACACTCCTCAAGGGCACCCTGCAGGCACTTGGCCTTATTAGCCTTGAGGCATGGGAAGATCTTTGTGCTGGTATCTTAGTTCCTGACCACCCACCCCCTTCCAGCCCTAGAGAAAGTAAGGTGGTAGTGACCAATCAGTGCAGCCAAAATCCCTTTCTCACTGTTGTCTCTCCTTAATCACCTGTTGCTCCCTCCCTGGTGCCCCTCCAGAAACCAAGCAGAACAAAACAGGATGTTGAACTAAGTAGGTAAAGGGTGATCACATTGGAGTTCAGAATTAAAAACACCCCCCCCAAAAAAAGTTACAATGCATTTGGTTCTCTTTACACTGGCTAAGAATATTGCTCTACACTGTAAGTTTTAAATGTCCTGTTTGTGTGAATGTAGTGTGGGTTTGAGTAGCGTGTGAGCGGCCCCACAGGTACATTCACCGTCTCGTCACCTCCTTTTGCAGCCCCTCAGTTTAGTGAAGAAAGAAAGAAAGAAAAAAAAAAAAACACAAAGCCTTAAGCTCTTTGAATTCTTCCTTTACCAAATGAGCATGGTTCTAACAGCTGGAGGCGGACCTCTGTGGGAAACAGCCCCTCCTGCCCTTGCCCGCCCTTCACATGCCCATCCTTTCACCCCATGCTCAGCGTGTCTCATCCCCAAGTGGCAAATAGTTGGCTAGAAATTTAAGACTTTTCTATAACTTTAAATTTAGAACATGTTTCGTAATTTTTTGCACCTTTTTGTTAAAGATATGTAGTTGGGCTCTTTTTTTGTTTTTTTTTTAACCAAATAAGCCCTTACCTTTCCTCTTGTCTCTGGGGAATGTGAGCTGATGATGTTATTTAAGATTTGGGGTTTTGTTTACTATACTATCCACTGCTCTTTAGCCAGAAATTCTCTAGTGATCTGAAGCAATGTGACTGAAGACCAGTTTTTAAATTATGTGTTGGCAAGTTGCCTTATATTTAAAAAGAAAAAAAAAGAAAAAAATGCCTGATTGTGTTATGCCAAATGATAGCAACATGAAGTCCTAATTTATTGTTCTGATTTCTCTGCCGTCTGTGAACACTGGTACCTCCCTGTCCCTGAGCCCTTGTGGTGGTGGTGGGCGGGGGGCGCCTACAGCTTCTGGTTCAGGGCCAGTCCCCCAAGGCGTTGGCCACCGTCTCACCCAGGGCCCCCTTCTGGTTCTTGCTTTTCGGAATTACATTTAAAGAGCACCACTGTCTCCCCTTATCCCTTGCTTGATCTCCAAACCAGGTATTTTTGCCGTAATTTTTTCCAATGCCTCTCCCCGAAAGGTGAGCTGCCATCTTAGGAAATTGGACCAGACACCAACTTGGGGGCTTTAAATCAAACCTCAAATCCTCAAATCTCTTCCTGTGTAGGGGTGCAACTCTCTGAACTCTCACTCCCACCCCTGGTCTGCATGGAAAATGTACTGTGACCCCCCCCCCCAAACCCCCCCCCTGCCCTTGCCTTTGGTGTGAGATGTTTCCTAGTTCACCCTGAGCCCCTCTCCCCCTCTGCCAGCCAACCCCAACCAGCAATAAGGGTCCAAGCCAGGGCCTCCTATCCACACTCCCTGCCTCCATCCCACACTGCCCCTAGGGAATACCTGATTCCCTACGCTGTCCACATACTGTAGCACTCATTCTCCATCTCCCTCATCTTCTCACCTGTGGTGGTTTATGGGTGTGATGGGGTTTTTAAGATTATTATAAACCAGTAAAAAGGAAAAACTCACCTTCTGATCTTGTCCTATTCGTTGAATGCTGTGAATGTTTGAGGTGATTTTTCTCGTAATGGTTTCTGACATGTCTGACTTCCAGAAGGGAAGCCAGTTCTCATTTTTGAGGGGAGCCATATAGTGTCTATCCCTCAGAAGCCTGAGGTGGTGGCCCACAGCCAGTGCCAGGCCTCCCCCTGGTCGAGGTGGTTTGCAGCTCTGTCCTGCCCTGCCGGCTGAGCGTGCAGTCACTTGTACTTCAAGGGCCATTGAAAAAGGGATCTGGTTTGCTCATGAGCCAACTGAAGACTAAGCCCCTCCCCCTGCCCTCCTTTGTTTTTTGTTTTAAAGATTTTATTTGGGAGAGGGAGGGAGAAGCCGATTCCTACTGAGCAGGGAGCCCGAGGTGGGGCTCGATCCCAGGGACCTGGGATCATGGCCTGAACCAAAGGCAGAAGCTTAACCGACCAAGCCACCCAGGCACCCCTACCTCCAACACTTTGGAAGTTCTTAGGGCCTCTGACTGGTGGAGGTGATAGGTGCAGTAATCCGTAACACGGGAAGCAGCCTCTAGGAATACTGATGGAGTTGTGCAAGTCCGGTCCCTTTCTGAGCATGCCAGTCTCTGTGGTGCCCTTCAGAGAAGGCGCTTTGCCTCCTTTACTCCATGCCATCCCTGTGAAAGCCAGCCGCCTGCTACTTGTGTCACATATTTGCAGTCAGCCTGAAGTCACACAGCTAGAGTGAACCAAGGGGAGCCCAGCTCTGTCTGGCCTCTTTGGGCAGGTGCTTGCAGAGTCCAGCTTACTTTCTGGTGCATAACCTGGCCAGAGTTTCACAAAGCAGTTCTCCCTGCCCGTGACCGCACTGGGATGAGATCTGGGGTGTGGGGCCGACAGTGACACCCGCTGTTGCACAACTCCAGGAGGCTCCCTTCAACCTTCCCCTGTGAACGCGCCACGGCAGCGCTGCCAGCAGAGGGAGCCCAAGGGAAGACTGAGGCTGGATGGGAGGTTCCACTTCCTACCTACCGGAGGAGCCACAGAGCCCATGCTGGAGCCCATGCTTTTCCCTCCCAGCTTCCAGATGTCACTACTGAGATGGTTTATTTGGGGAAGAGGTGGTCTTCCCTTTCTCAGCAAGGCAGGCAGGGCCCCATCTCCCCCTAGGTCATTGAATTTGGCCCTTTGAAGGGTAAGCTGGTGGTTCGTTCCCCAGGCCAGCATTTCAGACCGTCCTGTCACCTAACAAGGGCTCTTTTCACCTGGGCCTGTATGTGAGAGAGTGAAGGCAAAAACTCCAGCCTTGAACCTTTCCCTACTAGGTACTAGCTGCCACACACCGGTCCTCTTCCCGGGGCCAAGACAGAAGAGTAAGGGACTTGATGCTGATTCATCGTACAGTTTACAAGTGTAGGGGAACAGGAGTACTCCCGTCTTACCATAAGACTAACGATGCCCCAAGTAGCTGAGCAACTTGGCAAAAAGCAAGCACAGCAAGGATCCAAACCAACCCTACTGCCAAAATTGGAGGAAGATATTCTACCAGGGATTGCTAGAGCTTCAAACAGAATCCAGGCCCTGTCCCAAACCAGCTGAAAGAGCAATGAGAGTCAGTTCACGCCTCTGTGCCTATTTCATCAGCCAAATGTGGATAATCGCACTCAATGAGGCCTGTACGGAAAGTAAACAAATACGGATGAGAAAACCAAAAGGCCCTTGGCTCTGCTTAGGCCCTGGGTGTGGGATGGGCTTTGGCACTGGATGACCATTCTGTCCAGCACATACTTAGTGCTGGAAACAAGCACTGTCTTACCAAGTCTTCACTACAGCTGGCTGAGATGGCTTCTTCTACGATGGTGATAAAAGCGACTTCATTTGCCTACTGTATTAAACAAAGCCACTGTAAAGCGCTGTGCAGTGTCTGCCACATGATAGCTACTGTCATTAGACCAAGAAAGACCTACCTAGGGCAGAAACACTAGTTTGGTGGAGTATGGATCAGGGACTCCAGGCTTAAAGAAAAAAAAAAAAAGGGTCCAGAGCCTGCACTTGCCCCATTTACCCACCAGAAGGCAGCGGCAGGCAACTGCCTTCCTAAAGCCTGATGCAGCTCTCCTATCGTCCACCAGAGGGCGACCCAACAGGGCAGAGAGGCAAGCCGCAGCCGGACTTGGGCTCTGTGCCTTCACAGTTGGGCCAGCCTTCCAGGGCCCTAACCATCCCAGATAAGTCAGGCTGGAACCAAGTTAATAAATACAATTCAGGATTTATTAAAAACCAGGGCTCCCCTGCCGTGCCCCCTGGCACTAAGTAAATAAATAACCAGAGGAGGCACAGCTGGGGAAAGGGGAAGAGAAATCAGATCTCAAGACAGATTCTTTGAACTACCCCTCCCTCCCCCACCTCCCACCCCCTGACTATGGCTCTTGGGACATAGCACCAGCAGGCACCTCAGTCCCGGGTAGAGTGTGACCGGCACCAAGGCATGTCTTTCTTCCCTGCCCAGGAGAGGAGAAAGACCCTGGGATCTCTTGTTTCCAAGCCCTTGATGACCCCAAGACCGGCTCCCCCCCAGAGGCCAGGGCTGAAGCACCAATAGGAGGCACCTGAGGGTGGTAGGGAAGGCGGGAGGGGGAACAAGGGAATAGAACCTAGGCAGCAGAAGAGGCTGAAAGGGGGTCCGGCCCCCTCTCTGGGTTCAGCCAGTTCCTGACTGAGGTCACAATCCCCCTCCCTTTCTCCAGGAGCCCCGTCTGCACTCAGCTGAGGATCTTTCGGGGCAATTCAACAGAGGCACGGATGAACACGGCGTCATCCCGCACGTAGTTTCGCTTACGGATATCCTGATGGGAGATGAACTTGGGATAACCAAAGCCCAGAGAGCTCTCATCCAGGGAGCCCCGCCAAGTGCCCGGTTTTTGGAAATTCTTCCAGTTTGGGTCGGGGTGAAAGGTCTCAGTGACGTGCTGTGGCTTGGCCAGCCCAGGGTCGCTCTGATCCAGCAGGGAGAAGGTGACACGGCGGGCAAACGGCCACTCGAGGAGATTGTCAAAGGCACCTGGCAGCACGCGGATGTAGAGCGAGAGGTGCGTGCCCTCACCGCTGCCATTGCCATTGAGGAACGCAGACACCTGCAGCTTGTAGCCGTACTTGTGCGTGTAGAAGGCTGGGCTGAAGCACTCGAGGTTGGGCTTAGCTTTGGCTTCCTGAAGCCGCCGTCCGTAGCTGCCGATCTTCCAGATGAGCACGCCGTCACTGCCCACTGACAGCTCCTCCAGCTCTCGCCGCAGTTCCTGCAGCTCCTGCCGCTGCCGGCTCACCAGGGCACACATCATGGCAAGGTGCGGCTTCACGCTATCCTCCACATGTCGGGCCATCGCCAACTTAGGGCACTGTGGGCAAAGCCCAGGGCGCGGGGGGCAGGTGTGGAGGGGAGAGGAAGGGAGGACAGTTCTTAGTAGGCACTGGCCCTGGGGAGAGAAGGGGCCGGGGACAGGGCCCCAACTCTGAACGGGAATGATAGAGGACACTTAGGAGCCCGGAAGTGGCTGGCATAGGGAAGGACCAAAGGC